TAAGGAGGGTTATAAATGACCACAACCACCAGGCAGCTGGTGCCGGGCCCCTTGGCCTCCTGGCTGCACCACGGCTGCCCCAGGCAATGAACGTGGAGAGTTTATTCATATGACAGTACAGAGCATAGTCTGAATAAATGACTTCACCACGAGAAACAGTGTTTGTTTGCTGGGTTTGCACACAGATGGGTTTGTGGGTTTTCTAAATGAAGTAAAAAACACCATTTTTATTTGCAATCACTCTGCTTGTCTTTATTTAAAAAAATAAATGTATTTTTATTGATTTCAGAGAGGGAGGGAGAGAGAAACATCAATGATGAGAGAGGATCATTGATCAGCTGCCTCCTGCACGCCCCCTACTAGGGATCAAGCCTGCAACCTGGGCATGTGCCCTGACCAGGAATCAAACTGAGACCTCCTGGTTCATAGGTCAATGCTCAACCACTGAGCCACGCCAGCCGGGCTCTGCCTGTCTTTTTTTTGCAAATCTAAAGGACTAACATATGTTTCCATTCATTTTCAAATGGCTTCATCAGAGGTCTGTGGGTCTAACCACAGTGCCACCCTGGCTGGGGACTTCTGTTCTCAATCTCCACGCTAGCAACCCAGATTCCTAAGGATCAAAACAGGAAGTAACTGTAGTGCGTGAACTTGACAAATGACTCAGCGCGAGGACCCCGATGGGACGCTTAGTGGCAGGCGGTCCCCTGCTCCTACACGGGGGCTTCGATCAACACAACACAACAGCAAGAACCTGACGCCCAGAAACTGGACAAGAATGTGCTGTGTTCAGGGGATTCCTGGGGTTAGTCTGATGGAGACCCAGGAGGGTGTCCTGTCTCTGCCTCTCCCCTCAGGCATGTGTGAGAGCACTGAGCACAGGAAGCACTCCCCACCTGCGGGTGACCTTGGGAGAGTCCCTCGACCTTCCTGGGCCTCTATTTCTTCATCTGCAGACTGAAACCCAGGGATCCATCCACCAAGTATACATAGACTGCCTGCTCCATGCCAGGCTCTGTGCCAGGCTCCATGCCAGGCCTGGGGCATCAGGATGAAAAGGACAGCCCAGTCCTGACATGGACACCAGGGAGCTGAGTAGGTGGCAGAAAGCAACCCCTGTGATGTGAAAGCACATGGGTATCTCAATGATACTCATCATGGCAGTAACATGTATGGGAACCACATGCCAGGGCCTGTTCTGAAGATCATCTCCTGTGACCCTTCAACACCCACCCGAGACGATGCTGGTGTCAGTCCCATTCTGCACACAGCCACCCGAGGTGCGACGAGGCAGCTGGGGCAGGGTCCCCAGATGAAGGTGACGGGATTCCACAACCACCTGGCTGATTCCTCAGGCGTGCAGACTGCCCTCCACATGCCCCGCAGGTCTGGGGATGTGTTTAGGGTGCTACTGAACCCCGTCCTGCTTGGTATCCTCTTGACTGGATCCAGAGGAGAATGCTCGCTCTGCCCTGGCTGCTGGGCACTCACTGTCCGCTCCCTGTCACATGGCACACCACCTCCGTCAGCCAACCAGAATCAGCCAGCTCACAAGAGTGAGCACCAACCGGAAGCAGCACACTTGCTGCCCGCCCCGGCCTGAAACGCAGTTGGTTGGTCACAGTTACAGCTCAAGCTTCTTCACAAGGGACAGTCGGGCAAGAACACTGATGCGCATGCCTGCATCAGGGCTCTGGCCACTCATTGAAGCCTCACACTCCACTAACTCCTTCACCTGTTCACTCACTCATTCACTCACTCACCTGTTCACTCACTCACTCACTCACTCACTCACTCACTCACTCATTAACTCCTTCACCTGGTCACTTACGCATTCACTCACTCACTCATTCATTCACTCACTCACTCACTCACTCACTCATTCACTCATTCACTTACTCACTCATTCACTCACTCACTCATTCACTCACTCACTCATTCACTCCTTCACCTGTTCAGTCACTCATTTACTCACTCATTCATTCACTCACTCACTCATTCACTCACTCACTCACTCACTCATTCACTCACTCATTCATTCACTCACTCATTCACTCATTCACTCACTCATTCATTCACTCACTCACTCCTTCACCTGTTCAGTCACTCATTCAGTCACTCACTCACTCACTCATTCATTCACTCACTCATTCACTCACTCATTCATTCACTCATTCACTCACTCACTCATTCACTCACTCACTCATTCACTCATTCATTCACACTCACTCACTCATTCACTCATTCACTCCTTCACCTGTTCAGTCACTCATTCAGTCACTCACTCATTCACTCACTCACTCATTCATTCACTCACTACTCACTCATTCACTCATTCACCCCTCACTCACGCATTCACTCATTCACTCACTCACTCATTCACTCCTTCACCTGTTCAGTCACTCATTCACTCACTCACTCATTCACTCACTCACTCACTCCTTCACTCACTCACTCCTTCAGCCAGTACTCATTTGGGCCCACTTTGTGGCAGGTACTGAACTAGGGAAATTCTTGTCTGCCTGGAGCTCACACTAGCAGTGAAGACAAATAGCACAACAAACAGCAAGTGCGCTCACGATGAGCGGGCCTCTCCTCCTGCTCCGCGCTCAGACCTGCAGGGCTCACGTGGTAAAGGGCACAAAGCAACTGGGGCCCAGGCCCTCATCAGTGTCCAACCTGCTGCCCGTCAGACCCAGGAACCTCAGCAATCACACGGTGCCCTGGGCCCATCCCGAAACAGCAAGTCAGAGTCTCTGGAGATGAGGCCTTGCCTCCGCTCCAACAGCCCACCTTTCTGCTCTTGCTTGGCCCAGAAGAGTCTGACCCGCTCACGGATGTGCTTGTCCTCGCGCAGCTTCTTCTGCCACTGACGCAGCTCTTGGATCTCAGGATCACAGCGAACCTGAAAAATCCCCAAAGCGTGAGTCCCCCTTGAACCTGAACCCCCCAAAGCATGAGTCCCCCTTGAACCTGAACCCCCCAAAGCATGAGCCCCCTTGAACCTGAACCCCCCAAAATCATTAGTCCCCTTCCGCTTGGGTGAACTCAGCTTGTTAGCCCCGCGTGGGACCCTACAAACCAATCTGACAGCTTCCAGCTCCAATAAGCCATCTCTGCTCCGAAAGTTTACATAAAGTGAGAGCATAAACAAGGCGTGAGGCTTTGCAATTCTAACAGAGGGTGGGGAACACCCTAGATCCAGGCTGTGCAACGAAAATATAATGGGGCCACGTATGGAGTTTTAGATTTCCTTGCAGTATCCTCTTAAAAGTTAAAACAAGCTTCTGGCTTTATATTTAAGAATATATTTTATTTAAGCTAAAAGATCCAAAATGTCATTTCAACACGCACTCAATATAAAAGCATGACTGAACTTCATTGTCAGTTTCTGTGCTGCCTTCACGGTGGGCTGTGCTCACAGCACATCTCAGCGTGACCCACACACACCTCAGTGCTCAACAGCCCCTGCAGGCCAGGGCAGTGGCCCAGGCTAACCACGGTCCCCATGTCACCACAGCTCTGTGCCTACTGTACAGTGGGGTTTGAGCTGGACATTAGATACGAGGATAGTGGAAGTAATTATAATTACTCTTTTCATTATTACTATAGCTCATATCTATTGAGCAGGTATGTCCCAGGCACTGTTTAAGTGTTTTAGAAATTTTAATCATCAAAACTACCCACTGAGGCAGGAATGATGATCCCCATTCCACAGGCACGGAGACTGAGTCACAGACTGGGACGGGGTGGGACTAGGGTTTGGATGTGGGCAGGCTGTCCTGGCCATCCTGGAGGACTGCAGTGAGAGACACGGCACACAGGAGGGCCAGCCAGTAAGGTGCGAGCAAGGATGTGGGTGGGTAAGGGACACCAGTGGGCGCTGCACTTGCCTGAAGTGGGAGGAAGCATTTCATGGAGCAGGCACCTCTGGGCTGAGTTTTTGTTTTGTTTTGTTTTGTTTTTAAGAGAGGGAGAGGGAGAGAGAGACAGAAACATCAAGGATAAGAGAGAATCACTGATCGGCTGCCTCCTGCATGCCACCTACTGGGAATCAAGCCTGCAATCTGGGCATGTGCCCTGGACTGGAATTGAACCCAGTACCCTTCAGTCCACAGGCCAATGCTCTATCCACTGAGCCAAACCAATCAGGGCTCTGGGCTGAGTTTAGAAGGATGAACTAGAGTCAGCCATGGAGGAAGGGGTTGATGGTATTCCAGGGGAGGCACCAGCCTGTGCAGGGTGCAGGAGGTGCACAGCCCTGAGGACCCGGAAGTCCCATGAGAAAACAGGAGAGCCACTCGCCCTTCCCGCCTGCTTCACCCTCTCCCTCTCCACAGTGCCCCTTGAGTGGCTCTCAGGATTAAAGGACTGATTTATACATGTTGGTGTGTGTCCACTTTCTTTTGAAAGGTAAGTTAAAGTTCCAGATGCTGAGACATCTGGAGAATATGTCCCCAGGATAACGGTCTCCTGACTCAGCTCTTTATAGAACTACTAGGGGCCTGGTGCACGGAATTCGTGCACACGGGGGGTGGGGTGGGGGTGGGGGGTGCTGTTCCTCAGCCCAGCCTGCACCCTCTCCAATTTGGGACCACCACTGGCTCCTAACTTAGAGTGCCAGCGGGTCTTTATTTTTATTTATTTAATTTTTTTTAAAGGGCTAAGTCTATGATTTTTAATTAAAACTGAAAAACTGTCCGGGACAGGAATGACAGAGGACCCATCCTAGGTGGATGGGATCCTGGGGGTGGAGAGTGGGGAACATTGTTGACACAGTTGTCAGAATTCAAATGGGGTCTGTGGATTGAACCTTAATACTGTTTGAATGGAGATTTCCTCACGTGGTTTGGTGGAGAATTGTTATGCAGGAGTGTCTGCTTTTGGGAAATACACAGGGGAGTATCTGGGCAGCCTGTCATGTGTAGAGCATGCTCTCAAACAGCTCAGAAAAAGACTGGGGAGCGGCAGCGCCGGGCTTCTCCCGCAGGGGCCCCCAGCATGGTTGACTATACTGTGGAGTATGACTATGATGCTGTGCATGATGATGAATTAACTATTCAAGTTGGTAAAATCATCAGGAATGTGAAAAAACTACAGGAGGAAGGATGGCTATAAGGAGAACTAAATGGGAGAAGAGGAATGTTTCTGGATAATTTTGTTAAGGAAATTAAGAGAGGAACAGAATCCAAGGATGACAATTTGCCCATCAGACGGGAAAGGCATGGGGATGTAGCAAGTCTTGTACAATGAATAAGCACCTATGGACTTCCAGCTGGAGGAATTCAGCCACATCTGCCAACTAAAAACATTAAAAAAAAAAAGATCAAGAAGCGGCAATGTAAGGTTCTGTTTGAGTACATTCCACAAAATGATGACGAACTGGAGTTGAAAGTGGGAGATATTATTGATATTAATGATGAGGTAGAAGAAGGCTGGTGGAGTGGAACCCTGAACAATAAGTTGGGACTGTTTCCCTCAAATTTTGTGAAAGAATTAGAGATAACAGATGATGGTGAAACTCATGAAGCCCAGGAGGATTCAGAATCTGTCTGGACTGGGCCCACCTTATCTTTCTCCTCTCAGGGGAATGGGAATGAAACTGCACCCGGATCGGTGACACAGCCAAAGAAAATTCGAGGGACTGGATTTGGAGATATTTTTAAAGAAGGCTCTGTGAAACTTAGGACAAGAGCATCCAGTAGTGAAACAGAAGAGAAAAAATCAGAAAAGCCCTCAATCATACAGTCACTAGGATCCAGAACTCAGAACACGGAGATAACAAAATCAGACACTAAAGGTAAAACAAAAGCTAAGGAGTATTGTAGAGCGTTATTTGCCTATGAAGGTACTAATGAAGATGAACTTACTTTTAAAGAGGGAGACATAATCCACTTGATAAGTAAGGAGACTGGAGAAACTGGCTGGTGGAAGGGTGAACTTAATGGTAAAGAAGGAGTATTTCCGGACAATTTTGCTGTTCAGTTAAATGAACTGGATAAGGACTTTCCAAAACCAAAGAAACCACCACCTCCTGCTAAGGGTCCAGCCCCAAAGCCTGAGCTGATATCTAGAGAGAAAAAGTATTTTCCTGTAAAGCCTGAAGAAAGAGATGAAAAATCCATGCTGGACCAGAAACCTTCTAAACCAGCTGCTCTACAAGTTCTACCCAAGAAGCCTACTCCACCCACCAAAGCCAATAATTTATTGAGATCTTCTGGAACAGTGTACCCAAAGCGACCTGAGAAACCAGTTCCTCCACTACCACCTGTAGCCAGGATTAATGGGGAAGTGCCTGCCATTTCATCAAAATTTGAAACTGAGCCAGTATCAAAACCAAAGTTAGATTCTGAACAGTCACCACTTAGACCAAAATCAGTAGATCTAGATTCATTTACAATTAGGAGCTTTAAAGAAACAGATATTGTGAATTTTGATGACATAGCTTCCTCAGAAAACTTAGTCCATCTCACTGCAAACAGACCGAAGATGCCTGGAAGAAGGTTGCCTGGCCACTTCAATGGCGGGCATTCTCCAACTCAAAGCCCAGAAAAAATCTTGAAGTCACCCAAAGAAGAAGATAGTGCCAACATAAAGCCATCTGAATTTAAAAAGGATTCTTGCAACTCTCCAAAGCCATCTCTGTACCTTTCAACACCTCCAAGTACTTCAAAACCAAATGCGGCTAGTTTTTTAACTCCATTAGAAATAAAAGCTAAATTAGAAGCAGACGATGGGGAAAAAAATTCCCTGGATGAAATTGAAGCTGAGATGATTGAACTGCTGTGCATTGTGGAAGCACTGAAAAAGCAGCACGGGAAAGAACTGGAAAAACTACGAAAAGATTTGGAAGAAGAGAAGGCTCTGAGAAGTAATCTAGAAGTAGAAATTGAGAAGCTGAAAAAAGCTGTCCTATCTTCTTGAAGAGGCACAAACCCAGTATTTATAATGAAATGGGGATTCAGAGGCAACACTATGAACTTCAATTTACTTGTTACTTAAAAATAACAAATACTGATGTTGTGGTAAAGAAATATGAGTATATTAACTATAATATCTATAGAAAAGCGGGGGGGGGGTGAATTTTTTTTATATATTTTGCTTTGCCAATAAGAGGGGGAAAAGAGGCCTTATTTCTTACGTGCTGGGATTGCAAACTTCTTTTTTAGTTTGCTTGAAAATACTACTGAATCTGTTTTAAAAAGGAAAATTCATAATGGTTTTTTTTATTGAAATGTATTATTTTTAAAGAGATCTATGCTATAAATATGGTGATATCTTTACAAATAGTCTGTAAAATATACTATTTGAGAGGGACAAATTAGCTTTATAGTAACTATTGTCACTACGTTATACTTAGGGGATATGTACTTTTGTGTATATATATAAATATGTATTTTTTTCTTTCACTTTTAGCTTCTTACCCAGGATGACACTGCTGTGCCTGTTTGTTTGCAGTGCTGTTTATATTCTGGGCGATGTAATGGGAGTTTTCTAGCTGTATCCAGATTACTCACTCATGCATATAGGAATATCTAATGAATTAATCAAAAGAATTTCTTCTGCTTTTAGAATATTTCATATTGCTTGCACTATAGGAAAGATTTGGAAGAAGAGAAGGCTCTGAGAAGTAATCTAGAGGTAGAAATTGAGAAGCTGAAAAAAGCTGATTTATAAAAGGAATTTAGTTAAGATATATTGGATTGTTAAATATATTTGGAAAAATATGAGCTATACTTTAAATTCATTGGGTATAAAGAACTAAAAATGTCAATTTAACCCTTAACTTGTTGTGCCTAAAAACTACAGCACATACATGATATGCAAACACCAGCCTTATTGCTGTGCTTTTCTGCTTATTTTACAGGCTTCTCTATTACCCATTTCATAATGTTGTGATTTAATCCTTTATGCCCCTTCCTCTGATTTTTAATAATTGTAAACAAAACTCAAATTTTCAGAAGTTCAGTGTGAGGTTTCATACTTGGACAAGTTATCATTGTGTAAGTGCTAGACTTTACAATGTTTAACTGGCCTAACAGAGCAAACTAAGTGGTGGGGATACTTCGGACTGTGATTTAGGAAGCAGCTTCATAAAGAGCGTTAGTAGATCATTAAATCGTAGCTTATTAAAACCAAATCTAGTTGACCGTATTAAAAATGCATTTTCACAAAACGGATGAATTAGCAGTTCCTTCAGAATCATTTATGAACAGGTGGATATTTTAAAGTGTTATATGTGTAGTCTGAAAATGTCCATTTTTATAATAAAAGTAGAAATTTTACATTCTTCATTTGCAAAATAATTTAGATTTTAAGATTGCTTTTATTGCAAATGACTTAGATTTTGAGTACCCTCTATCATGCTTCCTTTTTATGTTATTTTAAAGCACCAAACCAATATTTTCCTTTAAAGTTTTGATCTTATAATTCTGAAATCTTGTATTAATTTTGTCACATTTCAAATAAAATAACTAAAAAAAAAAAAGACTGGGGGAAATGGGCATATATGTGTATAAATGCACACACTCACACACAGTCTAACCTTGCCACTTTCGACTACACCTTGTGCACCTGCCTACTTGTTAAGATCCATAACTCCAGAATCAAGGTTTGCAGAGCGTCCTCGGCCATTGGGCCATGGCCAGGGTGCAGGAACCCTGCAGACAGACCCGCAGGCACAGTGCCAGCTGAGGTCTAACAGGTGCCACTGTTTTCTTGTTTCCGCTCCAGTATGTGAACTGGGGTCTGTTTCGCGATGGGTTCCGTTGGGGCTTTGGCATTTCTGTGCTTCCTGGTGGCGTCTGGCTGTGTGGGATGGCCAAGCTGGCGCTCCAGTGGATGCTGGCTCCCTGAGCCCGAGAAGACTGTGCGTTAAGTACGGAGAAAAGATTGTGTCGTAAGCAAGTTCAGGCTGCCCCATTTCAACCTTAAGGAATCAACAGCACCCATCACATACGGTGTCCTTTCGATGGAAACACAGAGTGCTGCCCTGAGCACGCACGGTGCCGGCTCACCGGGGCCCACAGACTAGCAGCGATGGCCACTTGCGGGTGACATCGTAGAGTCGTGATGCTGAGGTGATGCCGGGAGTGAGTCCGCTGCCAAGGCCACATCCTGGCCCACAACCTGACCCACGTCCGGGCCTACGCCCCCAGTGAAGCCTGTGGTCGGGCACCAACCGGCGGCTAGGGGAACTGACATAGCCATGTAGGTACCACTGCAGTTTCTCTATGCACTTTTAAACCATCTGCGTTCTTCCGGAAAAAAAGGGCTTTTTCTCCCACTCTGGACAGCCACGCTCCCCCAGAGGCGCCCAAAGACATGGGGCCTACCTGGCATCCCAGCCTTGCTGACCCCGCGAGCCACTGCCCTAACAGCTCCGACCTCTGCAGCCCTCGGCGCAGCCCATCAGCGCCGTCCAGCGTGGTCTGTCCAGCACAGTCCGTCCATCTGCAGGACACCCAAGGCCACCCGGCCACACACACTCGGGCTGCTCCTGCCTGGACTCCGCTTTACTGCGCCTGGCAGTGGGCCCGGTGTGCCTGCATGGAGCTGCCTCAGTGACTGCACTTCAAGAAGCTGCCCTTTATTTTTAAAAGACTGCACCGCACACACCCAGCCTTCAGCACCTCCCCGGCCTGGGTAAGGGGCCGCCAGCATTTTGCAGGCCAGCAGCGCCCCTGATTATGGCAGGGATCCCCTCTGGGGTGCTGGGCTGGACTGGGCTAGCGGCTACCGGTGGTTTGAAGGCCGGCCACGCTCCTGATCCAGGCGGGGTCCCCTCATGGTGACCTGCCGTCCATCTGGTTGTGACGGCCCTAGTCTATTATTAGTATAGACTAGTGGCCCAGTACACAAATTCATGCACATTGAAAGAAAATTATCTCTATAATAGAAGTGTCAGAGATGAAAGAAAATTAGTAAAATGTATATGAAAATAATATATAAATTGATTAATAAATAAACAATAACAACATGATATAAAAACAACAAAGACATGATATAAAAAGAACAAAAACGTTATATAAAAACAACATTGATATAAACAATGACTGATAAATTAATTAAACTTATTCTAACACTGAGGCCAGTGTCAGACGGGGACAAATCAATTCTTTGAATCAGAGCAACCTCTCCACCGCAGATCCTGTTAATACTTCAGTTTAAATTATGTTAGGTCGTAATCTTTTGATAATAAATCTAGTACCATTACAAAGACCCCATTTACTATTAAGATTTCTCAGTAGCATGATAATTGCACCTACTTTCAATTCTAATTTAGACACCGCATTCCCGAAGGAGTAATATTTTTAAGAAATTTGATGAGAAAATTTTCCTTTTCGACATCATCCATGGAATCCATCATCCATGGAATACAATTACACTGTATTCTCTGAGTCTTAATGTAATATCCATTCACCATGTGGGAAAAGAATAGGATACATCATTACATCTAATGTAGGAAACAGGATACTGTTTTGTTTCATTTTAGTGGCATTTGGATTATTTGGATCTGGTTTACAATGAATGAGCAAGTCCCTTTCAAAAGGAGGTCCTCCATCTTCATTTCTGAATATGACGGCAACTTCGGTTACACAGGGATAATTATATCTACCCGGATCACTATTATAATCATATTTAATCACCATTGTTACTTCTGTGTGCTGCCGCCACTTTCTTTCAGCTTCAGAATGTCAACAAAAACAACCAAATTCACAATTGACAATGACAGATCAAACACATGTGTGCGATTGGTGCCAGTGAGAGCTTTATGTATATAGATAAACTTGCTTAATTAGACCTGCTTTCTGATTTAGCTAAACTTTTTCCAGCCCAGTAAAGCACCCCGACTTCTCTTTCAGGTAATTGTCAGCAGCACAGCAGTAAATATCAACACGAAGCAGATTATTATTGTAGACCACGCAGGGAGAACAAAGGGTGAAATATTTAACTGCAGCAGTGCTTGACTATATTCTGTGCAGTGAGAAAACCTGAAGTCATTTTCAAGGTCCACCATTTCTTCTTTTCAGTCGGGTCAAGTTTCTAAACTTTCTAAATCTCCACTTTCTGGCTAATGAAAAGAAAATAGGATTCTACTGAGTCTCCTATCTACCTACTCCAGGACTTCTGTGAGGATCAAATGAGATGAGGCACGGGAAAACGCTCCACAGACATTTGGTTACAGTGTAAAGTGTTTCCACGTGAGGCTAGTTGCTAGGAAGAGGAAGCGAGGCATTGCTATGTGACATCATTACCCGGATGGTTGGACACTTAGCATATTAGCCTTTTATATAGATAGATAAACACTGCCCCTTCGCTGGCATCCCCGTGTGAGGGGCTCTGTTCACTGGAGTGAGGGCAGCCTGGTGTCCGGGGAAGAGTCACCCATCCTGGGGTCGCACACTGTAGCGCAAGCCGGGCCTCACTCTCCGGGCAGTGGCCCTGCCTGTCCACCTGGAGCCCCAGTGCCCTGAGTAGCCTCCTCCTGGCCTGCAGCCCAGCTCAGACCTGCAGGTCTGACCTCCAGAAACTGCTCTCTCAGCCATGGTGGGAGGAGGGGGCCACAGGCTGCTTAGCGGGGCAGCTCCTCCCAGTTCTGCTGTGTGTGGTGAGGTTACAAAGTCAGGCCCAGCCCCTGCTCTTCTGGATTGCTGCTGGGTCTTGTGACTTCCCACTCTGGGCATTGGATCCAGGCTCCTACTGTGATCACTGCAAGTTTTTGAGTTTCAACTCTTTAGAAGCACTCACTCAACCAGCCTCTAGGACACAAGCTATCCCCCAGGCCTGGACTGAGTCTGGTCCCCATCAACCACCTCACAGCCCAGAGCCCCCACTGCCTTCCTCCTCCTCCATGGTAGGCTCTGCCTTCTCTCTTGGTAATCTGGGAGCCTGCTGCCCCTCTCCCACTATATTTTCACTGGAGGCAGCAGTAACCC